AATAGAATGAAGCAAGAGATGAAAAAAATTTAGAAATATTTAATTGTATTTCACTTTGTCTAGAAATAACATTATAAAGTGTAATATAACATTATCCATAGCACTTATGGGTCAGAAAAATGAGCTTCAACCCAGCTCTGAATTATGAATCAGGCTATTTAAATACTCATTCAATTGTTTGTAGAGAGGAAAGTCTTTTTCCTATGGGCTCCCATTACACATAGAAGCTAATGTGGCTGGGCTTCCAAATACATGTGGGGCTCAGATTAGTTCCACAAAAATCATACCCCCTGCATCTTTGAAGGAAATAATAGACATAAAACCAAGAGTTTCCTGTGTTTGTTTTTGTTTTTCTAGAGGAAACTAACCTTGGGCAGAGGAAAGCATGGGTTTGTGTTTACATATCACCAAAGAGGGTACTGGTTTTTTTTTTTTTAATTAGATGAAAAAGTTAACATTGTTTTTATAAAAAACTAAAGATATTCAGTGGGTTGGGCTAATAACCACTTTCTTACACTTTGATTCTTTTCTTAATCCAGTCAGTTAGCTGTGGTTACCTAAATTGAGTGAATTTGCCCTAAAAGGAAAGAAGCAGAATGGTTGAGGCCTCTGGCAGGAGGCTGAATCCACAGCAAGGTCAATCAGTGATTTAACTCTGCAGGGAACAGGAACTAACTAGGTCTGCGAGAGGCTGAAAAAGCAAGAGTACTGCACCATAGCAAAACACTGAACCATAACAAAACATTGAAAGAATTGCTTGAGAATTATCTTCACTGAATTAAGGAGGGGAAAAAAAAGGATGCGGAGGGACCACAGGATTCGGGAAGAAGTCCTGCTCCTCCTCTTTGCCTACTGATTTTTACATTAATTGTTACATTTAGTGGAGTTAAAAAAAAGATTGAATTATGAATCACAAAAAAGACTGAATTATTGATCACGAACTAAGAAAAACTTTTGTTTGTTACCAGGGATCCAACTCAGGACCTTGTGCTTGCAAGGCAAGCGCAGTGCCACTGAGCTAAATCCCTGGCAAGAAGTTTTTGATGCTATCTTCATTAGGAGCATATCCATTAGGAGCATATTGTTGGTTTTTAAGTTTTGCTTCTGCCCTTCAAGTATAAATATATGAGGGTAAAATAATATCTATAAATATTTTGAGTTTCTCTAATATAACATCAGTGTACTTAAAAGACACATTATATATACCAAAGGAAATATGCACAACAAAGTAAAAAAAACAAAACTTCTTTTTTTTGGTATTTATCCTCTTGGTTCTGACATTAAAATAATAGTTAACCTTTAATCTAATGTATCCTTCTTGGTCACAGTAAGGGTAATTCAGAAAAATTGAAGTAAATTTTGGAGATGACACTCACATAGCTCTTGATGATCTGGGGAAGCTGACTTCTCTCTCCTTTCATGCAGGATTATTTTTAATGTTTTCCAGGGAATGCAAGTACACTCACACAGTGGGGCTTCCATCTTTGTCTTTGCAAAAAAAAAAAAAAAACAGCCAGAATACTTGGGATGGACTGTGAAAGAGGCACAGACGTGCGAGTTCTCCAATGCACTAATTGATTTAACAGCAGTTTAAAACAATGCTGAGCATTGTCAGAAATGCTCCTTTGAGGTATTAAATCAAGTTTCCCAAGATGGATTGCATGCTAACCACATACTATCTAAAAATCTCAAGGGCTGTTTATTGTTCTGCAATTTATGATCTCCTTGTTAGAGGATTGCACATCAGCTTCCTCCGAGCCTAGGAAGAAACAGAGACAAATAGCAGGCAAACTATATTGAACAATTCATTATATTATATTGTAGAAACCTAAGCACAGCATGAAGATAACCCTTTTATGCACGCTGCCTTATTGAACAGTAATCACTCTGTAATACTTTAGATATTTAAATCATATTTATAATAACACATATTAATGTAACATCCCTCATAAAGTTCTCAAGGTATTTTATGGGGTATATAAACCAGGGAAAAATACAAAATCTTAAAATGCAGATATACCTATCCTGGGGCCTTTGAGGCAACCTAATGAGGAATATATACAAAATCCCAGGCTGACAGTTTAACTATTTAAATAGCATATAGAATAACTCAAACACATTTTAAGATATTGCTGGTTACGAACTCATTCTTTATCTAAATATTTGGCCAGGTTGTGTAAGTGCTTATTTTCAGTTTTACTGTTATGGATAGGAAGAAAGAAGGATTAAACATGTTTAAAACATTTTCAATCATAGCTTTCAAATTCATATGACTGAAAATCAATCACTGATCTGAGTTTATGTATTCTGTAAAATTACATTAGTAGAGCAAGGGGGGTTGATTTTAAGGGCAAATAAAGGCATTTATCTTGGCATGGCTTGCCTAGAGTTAGTAGAGTGCTGTGTATCTATATGTCTGATAGATAATTCAATAATTAGTTGTTGACTGATTAATCTGTTTATTCTGAAGGAAATGAAGTGGGATCCTTGGGATTTCATGAGGATATTCTGTCCCATTCACAATATGGGAGGTGTGTCACAGGAGGTTAGATTGATCAAGTTGCTTTACTCGAATTTCTCTTTATGTTTTTAACAGTGTTGCATTAATGAAACATTGCTGGGGGATTGCTCCCCAGTCCTGAATATTTGTTCAGCAAAGATATCACCAGTTAGTGGTCAGTTTACAATCAACATAGTTATGCACTTAATATCTAATGTCCTGGGTTTTTAAATTTTTATTTTGGTTTGATTTCCCCTTAGCATTTTCTAATTTATAACATTTAAAGCAGAGATACTATACATTGAAGAATATTCTATTTTATTTACAGTTAACCTGCTTGCACAAGAATGAGACATGTAATGTTTTCTCCTCTGCAACTTCACATGTTCAAAAGTCAAATGGAGGTGAGACAGTAGGGAGAACAGAACTTACTGACAACAAGCCACTTGTACCATTATTAGTTGTGCCATCCTGGCAGCCTTTCTCCTCCCTTTCCTGCACTTGGTTTGATTCCGTGGTTACGTACTTTACTCTGGGCTAGGAACACATAGAGCGTTGGGGATGGGAAGGAATAGAATAAATGTGAAGGAACCAATTCCCAAGCGTTCAGTAGTTATTCCAGGGTCCGAAACCTTTCTTGACAACGTCATCCAAGCCACATTAATACAACTTGGAATGTTGCACAAGAAGGACACATTATATTATGAACAAAGGGTTTCTTTTTGGTGAGAAAGAATGAATCCCAGAGAGAATCAGTTATTAGCCTTGACATTCAATTGTTTAGATATTATGAATATTCTCTCCGTGGTATCCTGCAGAACGTCTGGTTCTGTGTTCTTAATTTTTAAGAAAGCTGTTAAATTCAGAAGTCTGTTCACCAGTGTTGCCATACTCTGTTTAAGTTACAATGCAGACCTCTTTTTATGAAAATGGGGCACTGCAGAAATGCAACATAGCTCAGATCTGACTGCAAAAGGCTCTTCCCTTAGAATAGATGAGTAGCCATGCTGTTTTAACCAGAAATGTCTAGGCCATTTATCTCATTTTCTTACATTGTAAAAACAAGTCTTTGGAGTCAAAGTATAAATGACAGGAAAAGAAGTGTTGTAACTTGAATAATCTCAATTCATTCTGGATCACCTTTTTTTTTTTTTTTTTTTTTTTTTTTTGCAATTCTTATGAATGATTATCTATTGCATTTACTGTGATTCATCCTACAATTCTTTTCTGAGACCTACTAGGTGTGAGGTTCCGTGCTAGCCTTTGGAAATTCAACATGAACACAGAATTTCTGGCTGCCTGTGACTTCTAGTCTATGCACTTTCAGTGTCCAGATGATTGGACATCCAGATGATTGGGGGAGAAAAGATGATATAGATATAAATGAATAGATGTAGATATCTTCAATGTAGTTTTATGTCAGTAAATTGGGTTGACATGGCTGGCATGTGCTTCCTTACTTTATACCATTAATCAAACTGCCTCCCACACTTTTAATTTTGAGACCTTCACACTAAGCCATTTGAATTAGAGACAGCATAATTTCATTAAATATTTTTTCTATGTACTCATACTAAGGATGCTAGATGGACTCAAGTTCTATGGAAGTTTACCTGACAAATTTCAGAAGCTGTGATTTCTCCCATTTCCAGGATTGTTCTTACCTTTTTTAAAGTTGCTCCCAACCCATTACAAAGACAAATAGTTATCTATCAAAAATAAGTCAGAGAGACTTCTAATATATGTTTTCATCTGGTGAACTGTTTGTGAACAGCACTTCATAAAAGTTATGTATGAAATGGATGTTCATAGAATGATATTAGACAAACAAGTTTATCCCAATCTGTCTCCCCACTGTAACTTTTATTAAAATGCTCTTATTTGTGTCTTTGGGTGAACACAGACTCATAATGGGTTTTAAGAAGTTTTAGCTCAACTACAATGTTCCTCCTAATCCTTCTGTGAGATGCAATGCATGGAGTTTTAAGCAAACACACATCATTTGACGTGCCTGAGAGACTTCCGAACAATACAGTCACCCTTTTCTCTCTGATCCAACTGAACTACTTTCATATTCCTCTACTCTGGCAGAGTGGCAGAGTGTTGTTAATGAAATATCCATGGTAAAGAATTTGCCATATTGCCTTTGATATTGACCATTGACCTGAAATCCTTCAATGAGTTTCCTATAATAATTTGACCAATAATCACAAAAGATTATATGGTAGTGGCAAACAATGTGGACTCTGGAGTTAAAATTTGAGCTCTGCTTACTTTGAACCAATCGGTTAACTTCTTATTGTTCTATTTCTGCATAAAGTAAAATATGTAGCTCATGGGGCTGCTGTGAATGATATCACAATAAATGAAATAAGGGAATAGACATTCATATAAGAATCAAAACACTGTAAGAACAGTTAGCTATTTTTATTAATACCAAAGATTCTTCCAGAAATGGTAAATAATCTGATACCTAATTCAGATAATCAAATTTCTTTTTTACTTTGATTTTTTAAAACCAGAATATCCTTTTTCAGACATAATCTTTAAACCCATACATGACTGATGAGTTCTTTGTGAAATAAACTTGTAATTTACTTTAACACTTGAAAACTCTGTTAAACATTGAACATGATAGCTCATTCCAAATGCTATATAGCATAATTGTTTTAAATGCCATGTCCCAAATATATATGGGTGTGATTATTATAGCCTAAATATATGCAGTATGGCTCTTTTTACAAGACTACAGGAAATTTAGACACATAATTTCATTTTTTTCCAAAATAATCCTTGAATTTAAATGAGGAAGATAGTCATTATTTATATTTAGTTGGTGGGGAAACTGAAGAATTAAAGATCTAAGTGAGTTGTAACCACCTTGTTACTTAAAGGTATAACAAGTATTACAAAAGTGTTTCTTGTTTCCTGTGGAGTTTAAGTATATTGCTCCTAAGACTATTTTGAATAAGAAATTACATATATCCCATAAATCCTGAAAGATTAGTCTGTGGAGGAAATGAGCAAAACATCAGGTAAAGAAATAAAGTAGTTGGCATTGATTAAAGCTTAAGAGAAATAAGACACAGGCTGCCAAAAATACAAAAATTAAATTACATAAAAGGTAGTTAAACAGGGAATATTAAAATATCACCAGTAAGAATGAACACAAAATGAAGACTGAGTGTGAAATGGATGTGGCTTTGAAGTAGCCAAAATATTAAATTCATTTTTTTTAGAAGTCTCTTTAGCACAAAAGAAGAAACTGGGCTACACAGTCATGAAATCTTACAAAAATATATTGCAACTAAAAGGCTGTGTGTAAAGTACATTTTCACTCAAGCATGGATTAGCATGTCCAGATGTCAGGGATCCATGGGTATTAACTTAAACGGCAAGTGAAGTGTCTAAGCTTCTTACAATTACGTTAGACGCCTCATCTAGCGACGGATGTTCCAGGAACTGTCTTCTTGGCTGATATTTCCCTTCTCAATCTCCCATAAGAATGTAGGTAGAAGTACTCCTTTGTAGTCAAGTATTCCTTGTCTGATGAAAAAGCTAGCTTTAACTCAGAGACTACACCATTCCAGATATTTAGAAAGCTGCAACATTACAATTTTGCTTATCCACGAAATGGCTTGTGTTAGTGGATTTACTCTTTGCTTATTTTAACATCCAACTTGACGATAATTATGGACTCTAAGTTTTCAATTCAATCATGATAACCAATTATTTTGTATGTGAATGAATACATTACATGTGCACTAAATCGGATGTTGTTTAATTTTGAGGTTCTTGAGGGATATATTATCCTGGATGTTGTTTAATTTTGAAGTTCCTAGAGGACATATTATCCTGAATTGAGCTTGTTAACCTAGGACAGAAGAACCAGAAAATTTGGTTTGCAACTTTGCCATGCCAATTTGAATGAATCACTTAATTCCTCTTCGTCTTTATTTCCTTATTAAAATGCTGTTTCAGTCAGGTCAGGTTAAGCTATGCTATGGTAACAAATAATTATCAAAACCTAATGACGGTGGAATTCACTCAAGGAAGGACCCAGGCTTATGAAAGCTGTATTTCCTCATCTTCATGATCCCTGTGAGAGAAGAAAATTTGTTTAGCCAACTAAATATTTCTGCCCAGATATTTTATGTCACTTTTGCTCTTATTTAAATGACTAAAGCAAGTCAAATGACTACCTCTCACCTTAAAAGAGAGGATGCGTGCAATCATACCATACGTCTGAGTGCAGAAAAATTAGATTATATATATATTTTATACATAGTCCTATGGACTATCTAACAATCAGCTTTCTGGAATAAGTGGAATTGTTTGAAAATGCCTGCAATACAATATGCTTAACAAATTACTATATTTTGTCTGTATTTTTAAAGCAAAGGAAAACAGTATCAGAAGAATGCTTCATATCAAGTAGAATGTCAAAGCGTATTTAGTCACACTTTAAGTTCAGATTTTATTATACTTTCACATCATTCTTAACCACGAAGATTAAAGGATGCTTGAGGCTGTGTAAAAGTATGAAACAGCTTCTTTTAAAAATTAAGATAATTTAAATATAAGAAGTTTTTTAAGTTCACAAAAAATAAATGTTAAATGTAGAAGTGAGGTGAAGGAACACAAACCTTATTTTCCTTAAATTTGCTTGTCCACATAAGGACCTACTTTATGACCTCCTCTTGATTTATGTTTGTGTCTGTGAAGTAAATTAGAAAATAGAGGTAATTCAAGCAAAGTTATTTTTGATTCATTTTTCCGCAGTCAAAATTACCAGGATAAATTACAGCAAAAATTAGTCAGAGGTGCTATGTTTAAAAAAGAAACTGAGTTTGTTTTTGCTTAGTTTGAAAGTCCTCAAATCCCTCCTATTTCTGTCCTTCAATTTTGAGTACAAAGAAAGCTACAAGCATGTAGAAAGAAAAAAAACAAAAAACAAACAGGGCGTCTCACACAAAGAGATGAAGCTGGAGCAGGCAAAGTTGCCAAAGAAGCCAACTCTTTATCCAGATCAACCTCCCCAGAGCCAAAGAAACCATGGAGAAGTTACTTCCTACCCAGTTCTTCTGGCTTCTTCTGGCTCCATCCTTTTTGTGGATATTAGTGAAAATGAGTCCTCAGCAGAGTGTGGTGACAGTACATCAAAGCCAATTTGGTGGATATTAAGGCTTGTGCATGTGGCTAGCAAGGCTCTACAGTTATTTAGTGGAAAGCATACCTTTGTCACATGCAAAGTGTGATTTGAGACAATCATTAAATATCTTTAAGTCTCCATTATCTCTTCTGGAAAATTGGTAAAACGTTATTTAACTATACCCGTACTGAATAAGAATCAAAGAACGGGATGTTTTTAAAAGCAACTTGCAATGATAAAAATCAAAATATTCAAAGCTATCAAGTGAGACCATATCCTCTCTACCAATCTGCCCTCAATCCTTTTTTTTATACACACACCAGAAGATGTTGTTTTGTGTGGCTCAGAGTAAGAGATAGCTGAACTCCAATCTTTTCTTCCCATTCAAGAAAGCTCAGCATAATTCAAGTGAATAGGAGTGATATTATGAAAATGAAGTAGATATTTGCAAATTCATTTTTGAAAGTGTACCTTTTGTAAGGATGAATGTATTTTTGTCTAGTAAGACGTTTGTGGCTTACCTCACAATGGATCACAGCCCATCAGTGAATGCAGACTGTGGTAGAAAGCCTCTTTGCATTCACTTGGAGAAAGATGACATTCTTACAAATCACAGTTATGCACTCTCCCTGTGCTGGCATTAGAAGGTGGTGTTTGTAATATCCATTACTGACTCAAGGAAGGACAACAGCAGAGGTCTTCAATGCGGTCATGGCAATGACCGCATCTCAACCAGCAGCTCCCACCGACTCCTGAAGTCAGGAGTGTTTGCCTGAGCATAAGAAGGTGGCAGGTCACATTATAGGTTGAATAAATGATAGTGTGTTAGAGAAAAACAAGGATGGATAACAAGCTTGTGTATTTCTCATTGTAGGTACTATTGGAACACTCACAAAGGGCATCAGTCATAAGAAGGGGACAAAATACACAGTCACCCATGACTTTCCACATCATTTCCCTAACACTTCTTCACCTCCCCTCATATCCAATGAAAATGACTATTTTAGATCCTAACCAGAATCGAGTGCCCCCCTTTGCATCTTGTTATTATACCTTTTTCCTGTCTAGTCATAATGTGCACCAAAAAAAACATGTGAGGACAACTTTTGCTTAGGATATACCCTGTGGCTCGAGCACATGGTCCATTATAGAGCTGCTGGCAGTCTTACTTAATGGAATAACAGATAGAGAGCAAGAATAACAGCTCCCTTGTCTCTCAGTCTATTAATAGTGGAACCATTAATATTGCAAAATGGCTAGTAATAATATTTTAAGGGAGGGGAAGCCTTTGCAATAAATGAACTTTTATAGCTAAAAGGCTTGTTAGCACATAAGTCTAATGCTTAAGAAAATAGAGCACCAGTTTACTCAATACACATATTTATTATTTGTTATTATTGTTTGTTTACTATGTTATTCTTCTTTTCTAAAAAATATGTTTAGTCATTTCCCTCTTAGCATCAATGTCCAAAAAATACATGGTAACTCATGACCTAGGAATATATTTATATAACATCACAAACGTTTTCCATGGCAACAAGCCTTGTCAAGCTGTCAGATGCCATGAGACAGACTTCTGAGCACTTCCCAAACAAATATAATTCTAATGTAGAAATGAGTAAGATTCCTGTTGTTCTACAATGATGCCTAAAATTAAACCCACAAACATATAGGATTTCACACCCAAGAAAGAAAAATAAAAATGATTTACCTCGAAGACATGTGTCAGAGAAATATAACTTGCTTGAGAGATGACATGTTGTCACAGTCCGAACTCCACTTACTTTATTTACAGAAGAGTGTGACTATTGTCTTGAAGTTTATCAAACTCAAGAAAAGTTTGAGACATTCAACAAAGTAGCAATTACATTGAAAAGTCCCCTTATGAGAATTACAAAGGCTTAAAATTAAGATCATAACAAGTGTAAAACTTTGATTTTTCATTCCATCTTCCCTGAACTTCCTCAGTGGCCTAGAAAATCACAGAGTGAAACAGACGTTTGGTATAGAATTGTAGTCTAGTTCTTTGGTAGCAAGCTCTAAAGTGATAGATAATAGATTAGTGGATGGATGGATGGATGGATGGATGACTGGGTAGCTCAATCTCATGGCTAAATAAAAAGAGATCTATTGTTAAAATCACAGATACAGTATGTTTTAGTCAATATGTTCATTCTTATGCAAATTATACAATAAAACTGAAAAAATAGATTATTAACTGCATTCTATAATCTTCTAAAAGGCAAGAGCACAATCTAACAGTATGAACCCCTTGCCCTAGAAGAACATTACTCTAACACTCAGAAGACTTAGATTCTTGTCTTGGCTCTACCACTGTTTTGATTACCCATTTATATGTAACAAATAACCTTAACACCTAGTGACTTAAAAAAATCTTCCCTCTCTCTTTTTAAAATTATCTCTTTTATAATTCTTTGGACTGAGGACACTCAACTGTGCCCAGTCTTGAGGGCGAACACCCATATACTCACTGCACTGGTCACCAGGGGTTGGAACAGAGAACAGCTGGTCTTTCCCTCTTTCCTTGTCTCAAGGCATCTTCCTCACCACGTGGCCTCTTCACTTTGTCTCTCCTGCACCAGAGCCAGATTTCTTAAGGGAGTTGCATGTGCATAAAGCAGAAGTTGCTGAGTCATCTTAAGGTTTAGGCCTGCAAGTAGCATAGGGTCACTTCTGCCAATTGCTATTCAATGCAGTGAATCAGAGACCCAAGAGGAAGGAACCATACAGTTGTAGGCCTACCAGAACATTTGATTCATCTGGGACCACCAACGTAACAGCTACTTTATCACCAATTGTAAAACCTAATATATTATTTCTTCACCTGTCAATGTAAAAGCTTGGACTAGTTAAAAATCTACCTTTAATAGTTCAGTATTACCTAAACCATGTAATACAGTATTTCTAAAGAGAATGGACTCCAAGCCCATAAAGTTTTAGCTTTATTTTCAAATCTACTCTGAACATCCTTCATGCCTAATAAAGTTGACAGGCAGCTCAAATGAGCACATCCTAATTCTGACCTTTCCCTTATATCGTTCTTATCCTGGAGTCCATATTTCCAGAAATCTGAAAATCATTCTTGGCTCCTTTTGTCGACAACCTCCACCCATCAGTAGTAATAATATTGTGAGGAAAATCCTTTTATTACTTCCATTTTTAAAATGAGAAAAATAAGACACAAAGAGACTATAACCTCCCTGATGTCACAGACCTAATATGTGGAGGGAGGGATTAATCACTGTGGTGTACTAAAAATAATGACTTCTGGCTCACACGAGTAGAAGATTAAAAGTTAGATTTCATGATTGCAAAAATTCAGAGCTTTTCAAAAAGTATATTAATATTTATCATATAATTATATATTATTATAATTAGATAATTTATAAATTTTTCACTAATAGTCCAGTCTAGGAGTATGTTTGGAAAAGAATAAGATAGCTATCTAAAAATAATTTGTTGTTATGTCATCACAGGCATGCACATACACACAAAATGAAAACCCTTTTTGTTTTTGTTTTTAGTTTACTCTTATAGTATAAATTATATAGAGTATTGTAAAATAAATTCTGTTTTATAGAAGGAAAGACTAAAATGTTCATATTAAATGACTCAGCTCATGGGAGCTGGCATTAGAATCAACAGTAGAAGCTGCTAGCAATGATTTGGCTAATAATTAATTAGTGCAGGATCTGGACATATGGCATAGGTCAAAATTATTCAGAAGGCCATGATTCTGAGGTCAGACACTCAGTAACACAATTAATCTGTTATTTTCTATCTATTTTAGTTAAATCCATTTTAGAGAAATGAGGAACGTTAAGGGAGGATCATGTGCTGCAAACTTTGACTAAATCGTTTTGAAACTATTTTTAATGCAATGTTTGTTTTGGGGGTACTGATAAGGTTCTTGAGACACTTGAAGTAGATATAAAGGCTTTTCTGGAAATAAAGGAAACTATTCTTGGAAATATTTCTTCTCCTGAGAGTGAAATAAAACAAGTTACCATTTAAAGCATGTGGATAATCTCCTTTCCCCAACTTTTTCAAATTACTTATTAGGGCTTCACATATTTTTTTTCCATGAATTTTCACTGCAAAAAGAAAAATACCACATTGGCAAGGAGAAGGAAATTTCAGAAGCTTCTCAAGAGTTACAGTTTGGCTGGTTACACACTAGCCTTTTCTGTCCTTGGCTGCTGTTTAACAGTACTTTAGAGGGACTGTTCCTTGGAACAAGTAAGGGATTTCTTCCATCTTTGGTGTTCTCAATGAATTTAAAAAATGACATGCTGTGTAGCCAGTTTGCTGTTGGGAGTTGGGGTCTGGTTAAAAGAGGTGGGTCACTAGGGCCATAATTTAGAAAAGTATCTCCCTTCCCAACTCTGCCCTTCTCTCTCCTTTCAATGGTCATGACATGAGAAGCTGTCTTCCACCCAGGTCCTTCTCCCATCTACATCTTGCCTTGGATCCAACTGACCATGGAATGAAGACATGAGCACAAGTAAACTTCTCCTCCTTTAAATTGCAGGTATCAGGTATTGTGTCTCGGTGACAAGAAAGTGACTTAAAATCTATATATTAAAGGCAACTAGGAAAAGACTTCACAAAGGCCCATTAAATACATAAAAGTTGTTCCCAAATTCACATATATTCATTTCACTCAAAGGTTGGTTCATTTTTTCACATGTTCCTCAGCTATATGCTCTCTCTTTTTCCATGGGTCCCAATTTCATTCAATTTTAATGTAAACTACTACTCTGTTTATATGATCTCCTACTCCATCTTAGTCTTCTACTAATTTATAAGTAAAATACATCTAAATTTGCCTATTGGTTGCTATTAAATTCAAGCAAATTTAAATGACAAAAATACACACTAGTAGCAATGAAAAATAAGGGATATAAAACTGTCCATTCCATTCATTGACACAAAGTAAGTACAGAATGTTTATTTTTCTTTGCAATACATTCACCTAAGGCAAACTCGTAGGAAGTAGTGGAACAGCATTATTAGGATTATTTGATTATTTGACTGAAAACATAATTTGTTCACTTTTCTATCCTATTCCAAGTGACCTGTCAAAGAACTTTTCTCATGATACTTTAGGTCCCACTCTTGGAAACTGTATGAACCATACTTTTGCATAATGCATAGTCATTAGTGTTTCAGTATAAGAGAGACAAGTTGCCTGAATTTACTTTTAGAAGAACAGAAACATTTTAGGAGGATTTTTTACCCAGATCCTGAGGCCCAAATAAGAATGAATATATGAGTCATAGAAATTTAGGGCTGGAAATTATTTCAGAGTGATGAGTGGCTAATCATTAAATAGCCACAGGAACTGAACATGTACAGGTTCAAATTATTCAGAAGGCCACACACACACACACACACACACACACTGGCTGCCAGGGTAATCTTACTGACACATAACCTGACCACATTATTCCCTGGTTTAGAAATCTATGATGACTTGCCATCCCCTGTTGGATGAAACCTAAACAAAACAGCAAGGGCTTTTCAGGCTGTTCCAACATCTCTTACCAGCCTTACCTCCATCCATTCTCTTCAGTGTCATGTTCAGACAAACTGCATTTCCCTGATACCCAGAAAGCACCATGTTCTTTCACACACCTTTACACAAGATGTGACCCCCACAATACTCTTCCCAGTGAACTCTTGCTTATCATTGAGAACAAAATTAAATGTTGCCTTTGTTTAGATTCTTTCCCAACACTAACAGGCCAGGTGGGTGTATAGTTACATTACGTCTCATTACCATTTTGTGAATGAATTTACTGGAAGAGATGTCACACTGCATTGGAATTGAGTTTATCTCTTCCTGCTGGACATTCAGTATAGAGGTCAGGTTTCCCACATCTTTCTGCTCAGGAAAGGCATTTTAGTTATTCATTTGTTCGTTCATTCATTCATTGAATAAAGATGGTATTATTGCTGGAGAATTTATTAGATATGGCCCAGGTGTCATATAGATTATAAGTTGGAGAGATGGACTCTAGACAAATACACAAATGAATAGACAATTACTGTTTTTTAATCTCTGCTTCTATAGAAAAGAACAGAGTGAAGACAGAGGAAAAAATAGATAAAAGAGCTAACTAGAGGAAGAGGGATAGCAGCGATGACATTTCTGCGAATGTGGCATTTAAGTTGGATCTATAGGATGGGCAGAGCATAGCCAAGAAAAGAGTGAGAAAAAGTCTGTGTGAAGGTCTCAAAGCAGGAAGAAGCTTGTAGAGGGAATAAAAAACAGGTCAGTGCAGCTAAAATTGGTGAGTAAGGAAAGTATATTGAGAAGAGATCTGAGAGCAAGGCTGGGTAGAATCACAGAGTTTGGATTTTGTCAACAGTGCATTGTAAGCCAAGGGTTAATAATGTTGAAAGTAAGTTCTAGAAACAGAAGGCACATTATCCTGAATGAGAGATTACCTGAGCTGATGCTAGGATGGAGGCCCAGAGCAGAGAAGAGTTTGTCACTCTTCCTTACAGGGTAGAATTATTGGCAGTCCCTCCTGTGGCAAGCCAACTATATTTGTAACCCAGAATTATAGTTTTAACCATTTGAGAAGCTATGAAATCACTCCCTTATGACTGAGAAAAACATGGAATGTGCCCTCAAAGGAATAATGTTCTGATTAAGGACCAGGTCACAAGTGCCATAAACAAGCACGAATAAACTGCACTAGACATCTACATTTGGATTCTGAAAGACACCCTAAACTTGACTTGCCAAAAACTGAACTCACCTTCCCTAGTTCACCACCCCTTTGTCCCCACCTCTGCCCATCTGAACCCCTCTCTTAGTTCCCCATATGTCAATTTATGGCACTCCCATAAACCAATGGCTCCAGCATTGACCCTGCTCTTCCGCTCTCCTCTCCACCCAGCACCAACCCATCACCACGGCATGGTTAACTCACTCCCTAGATATCCTCAGATGTGTCAACATTCCTTCACCTCTGCCACCATCATGTGGTTCAAGCTACTATCACCTCTTCCCTGGACCACTTCTGGCACGTACTGTTGGTTATCCCATCAACTCTTCAGCCATTAATTCTGGGAGGAATTAAAATGTCATTCTCCCTAATTTTCCTTTTGCCCCATTAACAAATTTATATGATTATCTTTATTAAATACCAGGCATCTTTCTATAATGCAAAACCACCTAGCTTCTCATTAATGTTAATGACTCTTATAAGCTGGCCCAGCTATTCAACCCCGACTCTCCACAAACCTCCCTCCTATACAGATCCCCAATCCACTTGTCCTTGCTCACTGTGGGAATTTAAATAATCCCTTCTCTCCTGTCCTCCTCCTGAGCTGCCTTCTCTGACCCAATCGTATCCATATCGCAGGTCACAACTTAGAAGCTACCACTGTGAGCCCTGCCTGATCCACCCCCTACTTTGGGTACATGATCCCAAAAAACCTGTGAACATCTCCAATCATCCAGCTCCTTTTGTATGCTCTTCCAGTTCCTATGTGGCAGAGGTGGTCTGAGCTGGAGCCTGCAATCATTCAGACTTGGCTTGGTAAATGGAGTGAAGTAATATCAATGGTGCTCTATAAGACATCATTATGTATGAGTTAAGCATGAGTCATTTTCTGCTGAAGAATAAGAAAAGAAGGATGCATGGATGCCTGAATAAAAGCAGGATATTCAGGAAATGGGTATTATGGCATTCAGTTATGTACAAGATTCACACAGTCATTTTGAGAACTGAATCTCAGGCTGCATTATGACTTATATAGTGTGGCTATAGGCACTTTTGTTTTCAGGGATTCTTTTTATGGAGGGAGAGAGAGAAGAGGTAGAGAGATTAAGAAATATATATATTTGATTGAGGTGGCACAAATGTAAATATATCAATATTATATAATGAAGAATTTTCTGGTCCTGCCCATGGCCTACCCTGCAGCAACCAGTGAGCAGACAGTGAGGACCTTGGCTGCGTGGAGCAGAGCTCCGACCCATCCAGACCCCACCTCCCAGCAATCAGCTTAGCCATGCTAGAGCCTGCTGTGAGGTTGTGGGTGCCCTCCACCCCAGCCTCTGGCCTCCTGGCTGTGGTGGTACCATGTGGTAGTTCCATACTACAGAGGCATAGGGGGTAATAAAGGCCATTGTCCTGAGATCCAGAAGATATAGCAGAAGTGAACAACAGAAAGGGCCTCTCTCAGGCTCCATGATGAAAATTGTAGCCCACTGGAAAAGTGAAGAGAATCTCTGCAATAAAGGCACACCAGACCACTGTACTTGGTAAGTTGGAGGGATCATCACCTCCCATCAGAACCTGGACTATCTTCAGGGGAAGGACAGCTGGAACCTGCAGTAGAACCTTGCAA